TGTTGAGGTCTTCGCCCCTCTTATCCCCTGTGAAGGGTTTATGAACAGCGATGGTCGTCTTTGGTACCCAGTGTGTTTGTCTCGGTCCCTGCATCTCACTGGGTTGTGGACCCTGTGATACAGGCCGCTGCACTGGCTGCAGGGGTTGTGTACCCTGCGGCTGTACAGGCTGCGAGACTGCAGGTTGCGTTGTAACCGCAATCTACAACGGAGGTTAGGAGTACACTGGTTGTACTGGAACGATAGCGGCATGTTGTACAGCGTGATCTAGGCTTAAAAGTCAGTAGCAGGCTGTTAGGACTCACCCCTGTTGCGYTGTGCACAACATTGTTGTACAGGCTGGCGACGAGAGCCCAGGGAAACGATAGCGACTGCTGATAACCCTCCTGATAGCAGCATGCCTAGGGAAACGATAGCGACCGATGATGGGGCTACATATGGGGATACCCTTGTCACCGGTGGGACAAAAGGAGGAGGATGTGCAACAGGCCAGGCACCCGGCCCGCACGGTGATGGTGTCGCCTGCATCCGCCTGACTAACACGACCAGACTCTGCTGGATGTCCTGTAAGATCTCCGTCTGGTGATCCTGCATTTCCACTACGCTTAACAGGACCAACCGAATGGTTCTCACATCATCATCCATCTCTGCAGGGTTCTCCTCTAACTCACTAATGTCCGCTTCTCTCCGCTGCATCCTGGCTCTTCTCCTAATCATTCTCTCTCTCTCAACCTTAATCTCTCCTAAAGCCTGCTGTAGCTGTGCCTCGCGAGCAGCAGCTCGCTGTATGGCGAACTCCTCTGGTGTCAACACCAATGGCTGGCTTGCCATTAAGCCARCGGACTGACTCTGGGTMTGAGCGACCGTTGACCCAACAAAACCTGAACTGCTAGTCTGGGTAGTCTGCTGCGCAGAAGTGGCCATGGCTTCCGAAACTGCGGCACTTACTAATGCCCTGCTAGCCTTTGCTGCTCTAGCCCTCCTCTGCTGCTGCAGTCTCTCCCTACGCTGTCGGTGCGAATACCCTTACAAGGGTATCCGCCCTGGTTTTTGCAAGTGACAAAAACTAGCTTTGGTTTAAAGATTAAGTATTCCGCACGAGGTGCGGCTGTCATTGTGGTTTACATTGGCTGGATGTGTGACTAGAATAAAGAGTGAGTGGACGCGCAGGCTTAAGGCGCGCGTGATTTTTTTTCCTTTTGATGACGGTGAAGACTGGCGTTGGTCGCCGGCCATATTTTTATCCTTACGAGTGAAGTAGGATTCGCCTCGTGATTGATACATTTGTCTATGATCTATGCGTATGTACGGGAGGGCGCGCATGGTCACAGTGGCGTAGTTGGAGTGAGACGGCAAGGGTGTTTAACGGCCGCAGGCTCGATTGTAGGCGGAAATGAGGCCCAACCGCCTTTTTGGCGCAGGGTGTAGTGCTGTACCACTTTATATAGGAGGCTGCGCACGCTGGTCTCAGGCTTCGGCTTAGCCCTATCGGTTACGGCATTGGACTCGGGATATGGAGGTGCGGGGATCGAGGCCAGCGGGGCGACAGCGCGGGAGCGATGGAGCAGGGTTGAGGGGTTGAGGGTCCCGCGGGACTATCCCCCTTGGTTTTGTTGGGGGAGCCCGATTGCAAGCCCATTTTGCAAAACCAGAGGACTGCCGGTAAGTCCTGCCCCCACTGTTTCGTTAGTTCCCCACCTAAAATTAAAGCTCTTCCAAATCTTTTCTCAAGTATTGACACCTCGTTTTAAATTTTGCCCCCTTCCGGGGCCGGGGCCAGTGCTAACCYTGAGAATACGCAGCGGTTTTAAGGGTTGGCTCTGAGGGAATACCGGTGGGGCGTTACCCAGGAGGGAGTCCTTCGGGGCATCCCATAATCTTGGGACGAGACGGAGAAGATTTGCCTGGCCACGGTGCAAGGATGATGTGCAAAGATCCGGGAGTGAACCCGGACGGGGACTAGGCCTGGCGCGTGCGCGAGTGGAAGATAAAAAGGGTGGGGTGGTCTTTCGCACCATTGCGGGGCG